AAAGGTGGTAACTTGAGATACAACCATTTTGCGCTGAAAATTAAGAGCAATTTGAGATACAACCTTTTGACAAATATTGATTTAACTTGTTAATTTTCAGAATCCATTTAAGATACTTACTGAGGATATGCATAACCATAAAATACATTGAAAATGTTAAAAATGTTATTTTGTGGAAAAAAGTGAGTTACAACCGTTTTGCGCTAAGCCCACGAGATGTTTCATGCTAAACATCTAAGGTCTAGCTGGTCAAGTTTTTTCTTTACACATATAGTTAAAAACAATGACAAACATGGGGTAGGGCCAATTTTGACCCAAGGGCTTTTATTTGAACAACTAGAAAATGTTTCATGCTTAATATCTAAACTCTATCTATTAAGGTTCTTTCAAAGAAGATTTTTAAGTTTTTTAAACTCTAGCTATTTGAGTTTTTTTTTAAAGAAGATTTTTTTTAGTTTTTGTTATACACATATAAGGAAAATGAATGACCCCCCGGGCGGGTCCAATTTAAACCCCAGGGCTTTTATTTGAACAAACTTGGTAGACACTCACTAGAAGAGGTTTCATGCTAAATATTTTAGCTCTTACTTTTTCGGTTCTTTAAAAGAAGATTTTTTCAAGTTTTTACTATATGCATATAAGGAAAATCACTGACCCACTGGGGCGGGGCCAATTTTGACCCCCGGACTTTTATTTGAACAAACTTGGTAGACACCCATGTTTCATCCTATATATCTTAGCTCTAGCTCTTTGGGTTCTATAAAAGAAGATTTTTTCAAGTTTATACTATATGCATATAGGGAAAATAAATGACCCCCTGGGGCGGGGCCAATTCTAAGCTCTAGCTCTTTGGGTTTTTTAGAAGAAGATATTTAAAGTTTTTTCTTTTGGTTGCCATGGCAACCAGAGTTCTGCATGGAATGGAATTCTTTGAACAACTTTGTTAAGGCTTCACACAAGGAACATCCCTGTGAAGTTTCATTATGATATGCCTTTTGGTTTCAGAGGATATGTCGTTTTAAAAGTGTGAACGGACAACGGACGACGTACTACGGACGACAGACGACGGACGAAGAGGGATCCTAATAGCTCACCCTGAGCATATGCTCAGGTGAGCTAAAATAGAAACACGCAATTCTAAAAATAAAAACACGCAATTCTATAAATAGAAACATGCAATTTTAAAAATAGAAACACGCAATTCTAAAAATAGAAACACGCAATTCTATAAATAGTAACATGCAATTCTATAAATAGTTGCACGCAATTCTAAAAATAGAAACACGCAATTCTAAAAATAGAACACGCAATTATATAAATAGATTCACGTTGTTGTTGTTGTTGTTGTTGATGATGATGATGATGAGAATGATGATGATATATATATATATATATATATATATATATATATATATATATATATATATATATATATATAAATATACACACACACCAATATATAATTATGGTCATTTAATGCACAAATCTGAGCAAATTCAGTAATTAAACCTTCAAGGTCAGGGTCATTAAAGAGCCCAAGCAAATTTGGGTTTGATAAACAACCAGGTCTGGTCCTTAAGAATGTTCTGTTATAATATGAAGTTGATCCCTTCAATAATAGCAAAGTTACAGTAAGTTACAGCCAAAACAATGAAAATTTCAATAATTTGACCTTCAAAGACAATGTCATTAATGAGTGAAGGTCAAGGTCTGTCGGGTTATTTTTAAGAGTTATCCTTGAAGATTATTATGTTCAAGTTTGAAGACAATCCATTCAAAAATAACAAAGTTACAAAAAAAAACAAGAGCTGTCACAGGAGACAGCGAAGCTCGACTAATAAAATACTGGACGCAGTATGGAGGACAAAACTATGAAAGAAAAATCAATTATGTATAATTATGTATTAAGTTATATTAAAAAAATAATATTTGTTAACATAAATTCCAAGATCAAGGGGAATAATTCTAGAAATAGTCATGGTAGAGTTATGGACCTTGTCACACAACATTTGTGTAATGATAAGAAATATATATTTGAAGTTTGAAGTAGATACCTTAAAAAGTAAAGAAGTTATTATATTTCTTAAAGAAAATCCTAAGTTCAAAGAGAGATAAATGTGTAAATATTGCTTCAAGAGTTATGAACATTGTCACATAAAATGTAATTGATGATAAGGAATAAGTATTTGAAGTTTGAGGTAAATACCTTTAAAAATAAAAAAGTTGTAATAAAAAATAACATTTTTCTAGTGAAAAAATCTAAGTTTATGGGGAGATAATTCTTGCAATATTGGTGCTGGAGTTATGAACCTTGTCACATAAGATGTGGATGATGATAACGTAAATATATTTGTAGTATGAAGTTGATCCCTTTAGCAATAAATAAGAAACAGTAAAAAATAATATTTTTTATGTAAAATTCTAAGTTCAAAGGGAGATAAATCTGAAAATATTGGTGCTAGAGTTATGAACCTTGTCACATAAATTTGGGATGATGATAACGTAAATATATTTGAAGTATGAGGTTGATCCCTTAAGAAATAAAGAAGAAACAGTAAGAAATAGTACTTTTTGAGGAAAATTCTAAGTTCAAGGGGAGATAAATCTTAAAATATTGGTGCTAGAGTTATGAACCTTGTCACATAAGATGGGGATGATGATAAGGTACATATATTTGAAGTATGAGGTTGATCCCTTAAGAAATAAAGAAGTAACAGTAAAAAATAGTATTTTTTAAGGAAAATTCTAAGTTCAAGGGGATATAAATCTGAAAATATTCGTGCTAGAGTCATGAACCTTGTCACATAAGATGTGGTTGATGATAAGGAACATATATTTGAAGTTTGAAGTTGATACCTTAAGAAATGAGAAAGTTATAGTGAAAAATATTTTACTGCACCAAAACTTTAAACTTAAATCTGGACGCGGACGCGGACGCCGACGCCGACGCCGGGGCGAGTAGGACAGCTCTCCATATACTTCGTATAGTCGAGCTAAAAAATGAAAATTTCAATAATTTGACCTTCAAAGTCAAGGTCATTTATGAGTGAAGGTCAAGGTCTGTCTGGTTATTTTTAAGGGATATCCTTGAAGATTATTAGGTTCAAGTTTGAAGACAATCCATTCATAATAATAAAGTTACAGCCAATAACAACATGAACAAGCAAAATTTGGACTTTTAACCTTGAAGGTCAAGGTCATTTATGGATGAAGGTCAAGGTTAGTGTGGTCTACTGAAAGTTCTTGTCCCAAGAGTTGGTGTGGCCAAGTATGAAGACAAAACACCAAGAAATTAAAAGTTATGATCCAGGTACAAGTTTGCGGACGGCAACGGCAACGCGATTATAGCAATACCTCTACTTTTTTTTCAAAAACCATGCAACACATAAATGCCCTAACTGACATCACAATTTTATATTAACAGAGTACCGTAAACAAAATAAATGTTTTATAATATAATTAAAGGGCATATGATTCTTACGGACGTTTTCGGGAGTTTTCATATAGACAGATAGGCAAAATTAAAACTCACGGTTCAATAGAATTTCTTTAAACTTGGCATGTTGTTAAGATATGATAACAGAAACATTTAAAGCGAAAGAAAAATTGGGGTCACCGTTCTCGTTTTTGAGTTATAAGCCCCTGAATCAGACTTTTCTACTTATTTGAGGTCATTTTAAGGGCAGCTAACTTATACATACTTAAATGAATTCTTGTTTTTACTTCTGGATTATGTTTTTCTTTTTACTGTTGAGTACAATACATAATAACATGCAATTCCTTACATCGTTTCTGTTATTTTTTTTCTATGAAAATAAAGGTACTTTAAATTCTTAAAGAATAGGCCATTTTCTAAGAAAAAGTGCACAGGTTAAAATAAGAAGTGGGAATAAAAGCTACCCACTCTAAATTTGTTCTTGAAATTTTGCATATCAACTAAAACATCACAGATGCTGCGGTGGCATAAAAATTTACATGCAAAACCCCAGGTGCACAGCTTCACAAAGAAGTTAATAGTTGGTTGGTTCTAACTTGAGCACTCAAGGAACACATAACACAACATAATGGAATGGTTTTTACTAGTCAAGGGCAACAACTCTAGAAATACTGGATAAATCCACAAATGAAATCTTTAAAACACAACTACACATGCTGACTAACATTCCTTTAACTTTCAGGACTAAAGGTTAAATACTTTCTGAGTTACATCTGGACATCTGGATTGACGGACGGACAATAATAAATCTTAAAGAATCAAATACAACCTTATTAATATAAAAGAAACTTAATCATTTTCATGTCAATTATTGTCATAGTTTACAGTGTAACAAAATCAATATCTTCAATTTGACATTATAAATAAAAATAAAGTAAAATAATTCATACTTTGCCTACAAGTTCCGCCAGCCCGACTTCCATTATCATCATAATATCCACCATTACATGTACACATTCCTCCATTTGACTGGCATGTAGCATAAAGTGACATACAGGAATCAGATACAGTTGTTGAACATCCAGTTAATCCTAATTCAACTTCTAGAAAAAAAACAGAAATAAACATTGGAAAACAATTAGAAAATACTGTATTCCTAAAAATGATCGCGAATACAATATTTTGCGTTTTTCGCAACGTCGGCATATTAACGGAGACAAACTTTCTTGGATTTGTAGTAACCGTGAATTCCGCGAATATGCCTTTTTGGAGGCTACGTTTTAATGCATGACCTTGCCTGTTGGGTACTTTTGATTATTTTATTTTTTACCAAGTCACGCCCAAAGCGCTATGTTACTCGATACCTTTGTTGACTAGTCGAACACGGACGGTTGGTCCGTGAGCACTTTTTACTTAATCCCTTACCTTTTTCACAATGTGATTAAGTAAGATTTAGTCAGACCCATAAGCTTTTATTCTCATTTGAATCATAACTGACTTCTTCAAAATGTTGATGCGTAATTTATTACACATTATCAATGTAGTACTTTATCACTATTGTAGTTTTAACAAAGGATTACACCTACTGTCCCAGGATGATAACTTGAGAGAAAGATTGTTAACAATGCGAAAAATAGATAAGGCAGATTGAAGCCTTATGAATAAAACACAAAGTTAAACAATGTCAATAACAATGCAAAAAATAGGTTAGGCAGATCAATGCCACAACCAATAAAAATGAAAATAAAACTACATGTTATCATATGTCTTGTTAGCTCAGTAGGTAGAGCAACCGTGTCAGTAATGTGTTTTACCCGTACAGGCACAAGTTCGACTACTGGTAAGACACATTTTTTTTACCTCAGAGCAGTCAATTGTTCAAAAAAAATTCATATACATACATTAATATGAGATCGAAAATATATATATTATTTATTTTTATTATTATTATTTATTTATTTGTCGTTTTCCTTTTTGATTTCTTCTTATAATATATATTTTATAGTATATTTTTTTTATTTCTATTCTATTATATATAGATAAGGAGAAATCAAAAAGGAAAACGAAAAATAAATAATAATAATAAACAGACCAAGAAGAAAAAACTGTGGTTATAAAATGGCACTACGTTGGTTTCGAACCTATGAGTTCAAAATATTAAAAGTTACAATGTCTTCGATCTACAGGCAGAGCCATAACGGTAATATACAAATAATACTGTAAGAATAATGCTATATAATATATGTAAGAGTTTACTTTTACGATATCGGATAATAATCCAGATAACCCCGTTTTGGACTTTTCCATGTACCATTAAGACCAAATTATCATCCTAGGACAGTACTCCAAGCAAATAAAATTCAAGTCATTTAATGTACGCAAACTGTAAATGTTTTTGTATACCCCGTGACTAGCAAATAACGTCAATAAGCATGATAATTACTAATAATTTTAATAATTGATTTTTTTTCAGGTTCCAAACAAGTATCTATAACATACATAATTCTTTACACATTTCTATAACGCCTGTGTTTATATGTTTCTTGTGTAAGTATATTATAATAAATATTCTGCACGTTTATGTTTTTATTTGGTTGAAGCTAGAAATGTTCGCGAATTAGTTATAAGTGACATATTCGCGGCTATAAAGATTCGCGGAATAATGCCTACCGCGAAAAACGCTAACTTAAAAGGCGCGAAATCTTTTCTAGGAATACAGTAATTAATTAATGATAGTTTCTGAGCTGCAATAAACCATTATGCTATAAAAAAAACCCAAAACAAGACCCAAGGTTGAACAAGCAATTATCATAGTATTGCAAGCAATCCATAAGTTCCCTACTGGTTAGAACCCCAGCAACATTCTGATTTGAATTTTACCAGTGAATTAATGACATGAATGAACTTAAATCTTTTGAGTTCTAAGTTTGTCTATTTCACAGTAATGTGTGTACGTTTCCCTGCCTAGTAAGGAAATTATGTTTATACAACCTTGTCATACTATTACGATGTGGTATTTTAAAGTAAATCCTATAAGGAATGAAGAAGTTGGAGTAAAAATACAAATTTCTCGAAAAGTTCAAAGGGGACATAATTCTGGAAATAGTCTTGCTAGAGTATTTAACCTTCTCAAAAATGTTGAGTGATAATAAGAAACATATATATGAAGTTTGAAGTAGATACATTAGGAAATAAAGAAGTTATTTAAAAAAGACAACATTTTTTTTTTCAAAAAAATTCTAAGTTCAATGGAGGTAGTACTGATATTTTTTGTGAACCTTGTCACATATGATGTGGTTGATGACCAGAAACTTGTATTCAAAGTTTGAAGTAAACACCTTAAGAAATAAAGAATTTATAGTGAAAAAGCTGAAAGATTTAAATCAGAAATCTTGATATTCAGGCTATTTGTTGCTATAGCAACCAGAATTATCAACATAGGAAGAAAAGAAAAAGATGTGCATAATCTCCAGACTGCCATCTACCCATATTTCAAGTTTCATAAAAATATTTTCAGTACTTTTTGAGTTATCACTGGATCCAGTTTATGTGTTAAATTTGCCATATTTTCAGACTATTTGTTGCCATAGCAACCAGAATTTTCAACATAGGAAAAAAAGAAATAGACGTGCATAATGTTCATACTGCCATCTATCCATATATCAAGTTTCATAATAATATTTTCATTACTTTTTGCGTTATCGCGGGATCCAGTTTTGTGGACGGACGGACTGACTGACTGACGGACTGACAGACAGACAGACGGACGGACAGACGGGCGGCGGGTTAACCTAAAGTCCCCTCCAGTTAAACCGGTAGGGGACTATAAACATTTTCACTTATGAATTTCAAATAATGGTGCCTATTAATGCAAGTAAGTGTCACATTGATCAAATGACCTCTTTACTTCTTATTGAGTGAAATTTTTGGGCAAACATAAACACTCCTATCTAATTGATTCCAAGCATCAACCAGACAAAAACAGAATATTTTATTTGAGTGTAGGCTGTGTAGGTAAAACACAAAAACATGATAGAAATATGAAAAAGTTCATGATCTTCATTTTCTGCCTTTTAAAGTTTCTGGACATATCTGAATAAAGTCATAAAAGTGGGCTTGTATAATTATATATATGTTCATATAAAGCTAACATAACATCTCACACATCACTGGTTTTATCCATATCAGTTGATGAAATGTATACAAGAACAAGAAATTTCGAACCACACAATCTTATGCCCCCTTTCTAGCCATTGACTGACATTATTGGTAATTTTGTTATAGAAACTTGCTATAAATGGGTTGTTATCGAAAAAAGAAAAATAATGACCTACTAGTTAAAACCAATCAATATGTGAAATATAAAGAGCTTGACTTTTGAACTAGTGACCAATTATGACTAATTTGTGACAAAGCTTTCATGGTAATAAGCGGAAACCATATTTACATTTAAGGCCCCTGTGACCTTTGTGCACATGTGACCTTTACCTTTAACCTAGTTATCCCAAAATCAATAGGGGTCATCTAATAGTTAAGACCAATCAAAATGTGAATTAAGAAGACTTCGTAATAAATTGTTTTCAAGATAATAAGCGGAAACCATATTACCATTTAAGGCATCTGTGACCTCGACCGTAAACCTAGTTACCCCAAAATCAATAGGGGTCATCTATTAGTTATGACCAATCAATATGTGAAATATGAAGACTTTGTGATAAATTGTTTTTAAAATAATAAGCTGAAACCATACTACCATTCCAGGCCCCTGTTACCTTGACCTTTAACCTAGTGACCCCAAAATACTAGTTATGACCAATATATATGTGAAATATGAAGACTTTGTGATAAATAGAAATCGATATAATGAATGGAAACCATTCTGACATTCCAGGCCCCTGTGACCTTGACCTTTGAACCAGTGACCCAAAAATCTAAAGGAGTTATCTACTAGTTATGACCAATGACTATGTGAAATATGCAAACTTTGTGCTAACAAGCTTTCAAGATAATGAGCGGAAACCATACTATCATTCAAGGTGACCTTGACCTTTGACCTAGTGACCCCAAAATCAAAAGCTGTCATCTATTAGTTATGACCATTGGTTATGTGAAATATGAAGACTTTTTGATAGATATATTTATCAATATAATGAGCAGAAACCATACTACCATTCAAGGCCCCTGTGACCTTGACCTTTGACTTAGTGACACTAAAATCAATAGAGGTCATCTACTGGTTATGACCAATTAATATGTGAAATATGAAGACTTTATGATAAACAGTTATAAAGGTAATGAGCAGAAACCATTCTAACATTGAAGGCCCCTGTGACCTTGACCTTTCATCTTGTGACCCAAAATCTATAGGAGTCATCTACTAGTTATGCCCAAACAGTATATTAAATATGAAAACATTGTAATAAATAGTAACCAAGATAATGAGCGGAAATTATTCTGACATTTCAGGCCTCTGTGACCTTGACGTTTAACCAAGTGACCCAAACATCAATAGGGGTCATGTACTAGTTATGGCCAATCACTATGTGAAATATGATGACTTTCTGATGACTTCTTTTCAAGATAATTAGCGGAAACCATTTTGACAGTAAAGGCCCCTGTGACCTTGACATTTGACCTATTGACCCCAAAATCAATTGGGGTCATCTACTAGTTATGACCAGTTACTGTGTGATATATAAAGACTTTTTGATGAATAGTTTTCAAGATAATTAGCAGAAACCATTTTGGCATTTAAGGCCCCTGTGACCTCGACATTTGACCTAGTCACAGGGGCCTTCTGTGTCTTTATTATTTCCGCTTATTATCTTGAAAACTATTTATCACAAAGTCTTCATATGTCACACACTGATTGGATATAACTAGTAGATGGCCCCTATTGATGTTAGAGTCACTAGGTCAAAGGCCAAGCTCACAGGGGCCTTAAATGTCAGAATAGTTTCTGCTCATTATCTTGATAACTATTTTTCACAAAGACTTTTTATTTCACATAGTGAATAGCCGTATGTAGTAGATGACCCCTATTGATTTTGGATCACTAGTTCAGTCAAGGGCACAGAGGCCTTAAATGTAAGAATGGTTTCTATTTATTACCTTGACAATTTTTATCACTTCACATATTGATATGTCATAATATGGTCACTATTTCAAAGGTCAAGGTCTTTACGTTTTATATATTGATATTTTATAACTAGTAGGTCATTATGCTTCTTTTTTCCATAATTGAACACTTCCATACAAGTTTCTATAACAAAATTACCAAGAATATGAGTCAATGGCTAGAAAGGGGGCATATGTGTCTTCCGACATTTCTTGTTCAAATTTGTATCAAATAAAAGGTAACCTTAAGTAGTATTAAATCCATTTCATTATGCAATCTCTTTTAATTCTGCCACAATTTTTTTTATCTGAGCTATTCATAAAATTGATAGCTACTACAAAGTTATGTTCATCTAAATCCCATGCATGCACCCTCTATATGGAAATCCATAGATACATATGGAAGGAAAAGTTTAAAATATGGCTAAGGTAACTAAGTATAATTGAAGTTTACGAGTTAGATATAAGACAAAAATAACCTTATGATGTTGTGAACATAATATAAGCATCTCTGAAGACTGACTTATTATGACTTATTCAAATGCTAAAAAGTAAGAATATCATCATGATGGTACATGGTATTATCTGGTTGTTGGTCTGAGTAATACAACATGAATGTAAGGTTCATAAATTTAATATATAATATTTATTTGTGGAATAATGTAATGAGCATGATGCAAGTGTTTATTTGCTGATTATTTATTCATCATTTATGATATTGACCAGATGGTGAGAGTAAACCACACCTATTTCCTAAACCATTCCAAAGGATGATGTTAAAATGAAAATAAGTTACAAAACTTAAATATCTTTTGTAACAATTACAAAGATTTGGCATGCATGTTGTAAATATAATTATAGTATCATCAAATTACACCTGAATTTAATCACAATCAGTTACAAAAAAACTGAATATTCACTCATTAGGTTATTTATTCACTGATTAGATAGAAGGTACTTTAAAGGTAAGATCTTTTTAGAATTTATTTCGGACTCTTGAATTTTAAAGTTGCTCAGTAATATAACAAGTATCTATTCAATAACCTTTCTGTTTAAGAGAAGGGTATTTTAAAATCATTTTTGCATGTAAGTCATGTGCATTTTGACAATGATATGTAGGAATTATGCAATAATACATTTTTTAACTAGTTTAGTACCATTTGACTAAGTTTACCAGTCCTATATCTCAACTAAGGATAAATATGTGATATTTGGTAAGTTTCTTCAATTACATTCAAACTGAACTACCTTTAATTCCATTATTGTCAAATATCTTTAATTTGTCATTATAAATAAAAACAAGTAAAATAATTTCATACTTCTAGTACAAGTTCCACCACCAGCTTGACTTCCATTATCATCATAATATCCATCGTAACATGTACAATATCCACTTGACTGACATACCGCATTAGGTGACATACAGGAATCAGATACAGTTGTTGAACATCCTGTTGATCCTAATTCAATTCCTAGAAAAAAGGTAAAATTATATTTAGCACGTTTTTACACGGCAACGCTTTATTGGATGGTTAAAATAAAAGCAGAAGAAGAAAGTTTATGGGAAATGAACAATCAAAAATATATCAGATTTGGCCTCCTCTTAAGTAAAAGACAATTGCTGTACAAAACCAAATTTCTTTAATACCATTTGACATTGAATCAGTAAAATTGTTAAAAATCTCAGTTTGAATAAGAAGTAAACTGTTCACAAACTGTAGCCAGACTTTACAGTTCCAGACAAATGATACACCCAGTGGTGATCTGGCTATATATACAGAAGGTCAGAGGCAAACACATTGTGCAAGAACAAACAAGATATGTTTGTAAAACACGTATGTCCCCTATCGGCAGCTGATCACTCTTCTAGTCAGGTTATTGAGACTGACTTTTGACCTAATGACAAAAAAATAGGGGTTATCTATAAGTCATGACTCGTCACTAGGTCATCTTGACCGTAAAGGTTGTGAGCAGTAGTTTTATGACAGAGTTATTACATATCTTTCCAAATAAGAAATGCATAAGCTTTATGAATCACGAAGGCCTCAAAAATGACAGCTAATTTGTTATATTACATAAGACTTTGAAATGTGTATTCAAAAAGCACTTTTAGTCTAATAAAACATATCAACCAAGGCAACACTAGTGTTGTTGAGTTATTTGTCAGAAACCATTTTTACGTACAATGTCAATGTGGCTTTGACCTTTGAACCTGAAATCAATAAGGTTTCCTACTGGCCAAGACCAATGCATCTGTGAAGTTTGAAGGTAAAGGGCCCATTAGTTGTTGAGATATTGACCAGGAACTGTTCTGACCTACAAGGTCATTGTAATCTTTACCTTTGACCCAAAAAATCCGTTGATGTCATCTTCAGGCCAAAATCAATGAATTTGTGAAGTTTGGAGGTCAAGGTTCCATGGGTTGTCCAGTTATTGATAAGAAACAGTTTTGACAAACAAGGTCAATGTGACCTTAACCTTTGACCACCTGACCCCAAAATCATTAGGAGTCATCAACAGGCCAAGACCTATGCAGGTTGAGGGCCAAAAGCCCATGAGTTGTCAAGTTATTATTACCTACAAGGTCAATATGACATTGACCCTAAAATTATAAGGGATCATTACTTGCCAAGACCAATGCACCTACGGAGGTGAAGGTGGAAACCATTTTTAGTCTATGGACCAATCACATACAAATGCAAAGAAATATAACCCCCCCCCCCCCCAATTCTTTGAAGAGGGGCTTAATAAGGATTAAAAATGCTTGTAATATAAAAAGCTTAATACTAAGGTACTTCTTTTCATATTAGTGATTTTTAAACTCTTATTTGAAATTCCCGAGTGTTATCCCTGGAAAATAGGAACCATAATGCTATGATGGAAAATTGTAGCCTTGGTACTGTTAGGGATATTTCTGCTGGTACTGATACATCCATACCACTGATGAACCAAACATTCCAGTATTTCACTTCACACAGCAGGGTAATACATGGATTATTCATATATGTAGATGTGAATTATCTTAATTTAACCCATCTTTTATGTTATATCAACTGCAACAGTGTTTACTATTATGCCTGCCAGTCTATTGGCATGTCTGTTCTATTAAGTGTTGAGAATAGAGTACCGCTCAAGCCGGTGCTAGGGGGCGTGAGGGATGTTGCTCTTATTCATTATTCCTTATGTACAGACTCAATCAAACCGAGTCTGCTATTTTCATGTAATTTTGTTGTGATTAATGCTTCCGAGGGATCACTTTGTTTCCAGATTTTTATACTTCACAACAGCAGGTGTCAAGTGCTGTGTGGCAGCTGTAAAAAGTTGCCCCGTACTTCACTTCAGTGTTGTTATATTTTTCTGGTCCTTCGGGATCATTGATGCCAGCACTATTAAGTGTTGAGAATTGAGTACCGCTCAAGCCGGTGCTAGGGGGCGTGAGGGATGTTGCACTTATTCATTATCCCTTATGTACAGACTCAATCAAACCGAGTCTGCAATTTTCATGTAATTTTGTTGTGATTAATGCTTCCGAGGGATCACTTTGTTTCCAGATTTTTATACTTCACAACAGCAGGTGTCAAGTGCTGTGTGGCAGCTGTAAAAAGTTGCCCCGTACTTCACTTCAGTGTTGTTATATTTTTCTGGCCCTTCGGGATCATTGATGCCAGAACTATTAAGTGTTGAGAATAGAGTACCCTCAAGCCAGTGCTAGGGGGCGTGAGGGATGTTGCACATATTCATTATCCCTCATGTACAGACTCAATCAAACCGGGTCTGCTATTTTCATGTAATTTTGTTGTGATTAATGCTTCCGAGGGATCACTTTGTTTCCAGATTTTTTTACTTTGGTCAGTTCATATGCATCCTTGTTTTTTCTCTCAGTGATATAAAATTTGATGTCACTAACTATTTCTTTACCTCATGTACTGTCACTTGAGTGGAAAAATTACTTCAAACTATTTACTTAATGTTAAGTTTGAATAAAGTAATAAACCGTGCTATTTGTTATTCATTTGTACATGACAAAATAAACAAGATCTCATTATTAGTTAATTCCTTTAGTTTGTATCAGGATCAATCTTTCAAGTTTAGATATGTTGTTTTCAGATTATTTCTATTTTCTAACAATAACAACCCTTTTATTCAGCAAACCAAAAGGATTTAGCATCTAGTTTAAGGACCTCTGGTGGATCAATAAATTAAATATTGAAGCTCACAATGTAACACAATACAGTCTAATATCATGAGCCCAAGATTTCTTCAGATTGATGAAATGACAGACAGACAAATAAAATAATTAAAATGGCATGCAAAAATTCTATTTAACCCTCTTTCTACCTAAAAAATAAAATACATGTATACTTAATTTTTGTACTTTTTATGTTATTGCAGAATTTAGATTTCTTTGAAGCGACAAAATAAGAGATAAACAGATTGATAATTACATAAAAACATTAAGATGATGTGCTAAATCTCCAGAAGACTCTCTAACCACACACCACCACCGGGCTTTTGTACTTTTTGAATTATCACAACATCCAGTCTTGTCCAGCTTTCACTGAGGCAACCACATTGATAAAATTATATATAATGTATATAACCTCCATATGGTCCGCATACTAAGTATCATCAACGTAATTTTTTGAATTATGACTGGATCAAGATTTCTTCTAGCAGACAAAAGCATGGATGAATTGGCCAAAGGTTTACCTAAAGTCCCCATCAGTTAAATTGGTAGGGTGGGGACTTCATAATACATATACTGATACTTTTAAAGAAAACAAACAACATTTTGAATCTTTTTCTCTAAGTTTATTTTATTGTTTTTTAAATGACACTAATTACTCTTTCTATTAACTTTCAATAAATCCAACAAAACATATGTTTGCAAAATCAGTATAAATCTAAGTGAAGTCAAATTTTAAGTAATGTTTTCTGGGATTTTGCTTGATAAATCATAATTAATAACCCATCATGAGTCAAATAGTCCCTGGACATTCAGTTCAAAATTATTTAAAAAAAAATAGAGGGCCATGATATCCACTGTACTCATCTGATATCCACTGCATTGCAGGAAACATTATGGCTAGTTACCTAGATAATTTTAAACATAAGATTGCTATTAGCCTTATGCCTAAAGAAAGGAAGTTTTTTGAAGGTTTTCCTATATGAGTCAATGTTAAATCGATTGATCCCTGGGGCAGGATCGATTTTGACCAAACATCGGTCTGCTACACACATTTATCTTAAAGCTATACTGGGATCCTTCATATTTACCGGACATTCAATTTACCGGACACAGTCTATTCCTGTCACATAGCGTTTTATTTTTGTTTCGATTCCAAATGTCATCTGGTTGGAATTGTAAAATTAAAAGTAAAAAACAATAAAAAGCTGTCCGGTTAATATTGGTGACTCAGTTCAATGTTTACTAACATTTCATTTTGTTAACTATTATGATATTTCATGACCTAGTATTGCAGGGGAATACTCAGTGCATGCTCAAATATTCATGACTAACACAATTTCCGGTAAATTCAGTTGTTAATGATTTATTTTAGTTTTGATAATGCCTTAACTTGAAGTCACTTTTATGATAAATTTCGTGCTTGGTAACATAACTGTTAAGTGAATAAGGAACCCACAATTAATTCGGTACAATTTCATTGTTTTTCATGGTTTTAAATTTTAATAAAAGTAACAGCGAAAAGACATATTTTGTCGGTAATATGAAGGATACCAGTAGGCATTGAATTGTTACAGACAATAAGACTTTTTTTACATATAATGTAAAATAATGTATGAGAATATGATAACATTATGAATTCCTGACAATAGTTAAATATCAGCTGTGACATTTTGTTTTTATCCTAGATTCAACTTGATTTAGAACGTACACATGAAGATCTGAGATTTTGAGATTTGTTTTTACAGATTTTCAAACTTCAAAAGGTATATGTTTGGTTTTACTTTTTATGTTACAGTGCTGTAACTGGACTGCACATTAACCTCAACTTTGCAGTTAACACACCTATGCCATTAGGGATACGATTTATTTGAAACACACTCAAATCCAATTAAAAGATCTCAGACGTATAATACAACATCTTATTATAGACAAAGAAATCTAGAACTTATATAAATCATATTATTAACGTACATACCTTGAGAAGATGCGCAATAAAAGTGTTGGTATGCTATGCATAGATATACCTGAAATAGAAATATGCTATAAGTAAGAACGTAACATCTTTTAAATAGATGCAATGTTATTTTGCTGGCAATTTTACGCGAACTAGTCTTTACTGTGCATGTAAATCTAAATATAATTAATATTTGATTAAACAAAAAACACTTTTATTCAATGATCAAGAGTACCATTTTTATCGAATTGGCGCAAAAACACCATCAAATTGCAATCTAATATATCAAAGTGTCATGTATTTATTTACAACAGCACTATGACCGTTAAAATGATACGATATTAAAATGAAAATTCTCTCTCCTTTTATTAAAATTTTAATTGCTTTCTTTATTAACTAGCAATTAACAAATAAAAAAGTTTTGTTACTGAAAGTTAGACATTAACGAGCACCAAATGTCCTTTCGATATATTTCTACATGGGCGATATATAGTTCAGATACTTCAGTTCACTATTGTAAAAGAATGTATGTTTTATTCATTTTACTAACGAAAAACTATCTTTTGAAGAATTTAGTTGAGAAAAAAAAAACATTGTATTGCAGAATACTGGTCAACAAAATTTAAGTGATGAACAAACTAATTAGGACACAGAAAGTAATATTAAATGTCATTAAATCATATAAACTCACTTCATTACCTTAACCAGGGCATCAATGCTAGACACGATTCTAAATAAGTAATGTTAATTTAGATATACTGTCAGCATTATATAATACATTTTTTTGGACTTTTTTTACATTGAATTAAATTATGTCACTCAAAACAATGTTTAATACTCCTAAATCAATACTGGATGGCTTAAAAAGCAAAAAGTAGAAAAAGAGAAAGATTACTTCATTTTTGATTTGGTTTAGTTTGTTTTAGATACAGTTAATAAAATGTATCTTTAAAGTTTTGTTCTAATTTTCCTTGAAAGTGAGATACATACCTTATAAAGTGTACATTCAATTCATAAATTGGAATGTAGAGAAATAATCTTATTACTCAGAAATGGTTTGTCAACGAAAACAAACACCGTACCAGATTTTAATATCTGAAGAAATAAACTTTCAGTGCCAATTTGTCATAAGAACAGCGACACATTTATCACATTACCAATCAAGTTTTTCCGTCCGTAGGATTAGTTTGTTCTAGGTTAATTAAACGTTAGATGTATTAAACACAAGATCTTGCCTAACCAATTTTATTCTTTTGATATGTGATCCATATTGAAAATAGAAATTAAATCATCAAAAGTAAAGCCTCAGTCTTGTTTTATAAGACTCAATTTATTCAATAACACACAAATAGGAGCAATAGTGATCCATTCAGTAATACTTTTAAATATCATTAAAGCGATATTTACCTCTTCAGACAAAGGGATTTCATAAAATTAAACTTATCTCATATCAGTTGTACAATTAATTATGTTGATTCAAAAGGATTATCTTATTAATAAGTATCATTTATTATTATTTTGGGGTCACCGTTCTCGTTTTTGAGTTATCTGCCACTAAATCAGGATTTTCTTCTTATTTGATGTCATTTTAAGAGCAGATAACTCATACATAAGTTAATGAATTCTTGTTTTTACTATTTGATACCGTTTTTTTTTTTGTTTTTTTTTTTTTTTTGAATACAATACATTATTACATGCAATTTCTTATATCGTTTCTGTTAATTTTTTTAATGAAAATAAAGGCACTTTTTAGGCCAATTTTTTTTAAAAAGAAAAAATGCACAGGTTAAGAGAAGAACTGGGGAAAAAACTATCCACTTTAAATTTTTTCTTGATATTTTGCATATTGACTAAGACGAATGTAAGCTTCATGAAAATAAGAAGAAAAAAATGTATTGCTTCGCTTCATTGTCTGCCCTTGAATTTAACGAAAAGTCCAATTCAAGGGCAAATAACTTGAAAATGAGAACGGTGATCCCGATTTTTTTCCGTTTAAAATGTTTCTGTTATCATATTCTAATAACATGCTAAGTTTTAAGAAATTCTATTGAACAGTTTTAATTTTGCCTATATGTGTATATGAAAACTCCGGAAAACGTCTTTAAGAAAATATAAGGGAACATATTTAGATCCAATTAAATGCGCAATATTATTCTAAACCCAGCGTAGCTGCTTAAAATCTTTTTGACCTACAATTGCAACGACTGATTAAAATGTATTTTTAGTAAAATCGTCTTAAATATTCATTTTTATTGTCTCCTGTATGGTGTGTCCGTCGGGAATACATTGGTTGCCGACGCTAATCCGAAAATCGATTGCCATTTTAGATGAATAAGAGTGTCCACCTATTGGTCCGCTGGTGTAAGTATATCCGTATGGGAATACTCTAGTATTTTGCCGCCATTTAGCCGAAAATTGAACTGTAAAAATAATGGTTATTTCAGCTCAATTATCGCTATTTCCTGCGTTCAAGTCGCGAATTCAAATATGGTGGAATGCTTAAGGGGGTTGAGTCCATAGGTTTAAGTAGAACACTACTACTTTTCCGACGTTTTGTCGAAAATCGAATATAAATAGACATTTTAGCTTAAATAAAACACGGCATATCTGACATTATGGAAACAGCCAATGGTCTTCTGCACAGGTTTTACCGTATCATCTCTGGCCAGCGTGTATAGCCGGAGTAGTCGGAATAGCCGGACGAGGCGAAAATGAGTTCCGGCTGCTCCGGCTGTTCCGGCTGTCTGGCTAACTTCACGAACATCACTTGACACCTTGTTTAACCTAATATTGAACTGTTAATAGTCTCTTTAGTTTAAGTCTCCGAATTACTGGCGGGTTCATGTGCACCCCATACAAAATGCGGAAGTTAAGAATCGTTATTATTCTTATGAGATTCGAACTTGTGTCTTCTTGTATAAGTGTGTTCATCAAGAATACTCTCGTTTCTGACGTAAAACCGAGCATCTAACAAGAAAATGTTATTTTAGCTGAAATCTCGAAAACTCGGCTTGCTGGACCAAAATAGTTGCCTACATGCAGATTTTGATTGTGTGACCGCTATTATTAGTGTGTCATTCAGGGTATACTTGTATTTTGACGATGTTAAGTTGAAGATAGAACTGTAAAATTCATTTTAGTTCAAAATCCGAATTTCTTGTTGACACCTGCCAGCTCTATGATTATTAACGCAGATTCCATAAGGTGACATGTGGTTTGACTGTGTGTTCGCTAGTTTAATTTTCTATCAGAATATTCTGGCATGTTACTGAAATTAAGCCGAAAATCAAAATTTTATTGATATTTAATCTCAAACATCGCAGATAATGGTTATAATATGATATCATGCTTAGAATTTGCAAACTTGTGTCTGCTTGTTTAAATGTACCCATCAGGATAATTGTGGCATTTTGCCAATGTTTAGTCAGCCGAACATCAGACTGTTTTCAGTCAAATTATAGAATTCTAAGACTTGATAAGGTTACATGTTTATGGGATCTGAACATATGTCAGCCGTTGTTTGTGCCATGTGGAGACTGTAAAAAGTCGTCCCGTACATTCAATCAGAGATGTTATATTTCCGATCCTTTAAGATCGTAGTGCTTGTGGTAATTTAGTTATTTCTATTCGGCTATATTCTTGTTGGGTGGTTCCAGTTTACCTTACATGAATACTGTTAAATCACCCTTAGGATATGTGGCCGGCTTTTTAAATTTGTCTTTTGACGTCTTATCTGTGATTTGCAGGCTTCATAACCTCTGATCCCCTTTCAAAATTCCATTTTATTCAGTTCCGCCAATTATATTCTCGTTCAGGGCACACGCTTTTTTTCACTTTGGGATTATATGACGCTTTTCATGGAATGGCATTTACGTGTCACATTGAAGGTTCCATGATAACCGCCACATGAACACAACTGCAGATGTTTCAAAATTTCAAATTTTACAGTTCATTTTAAATCTTGAATATTGCTTAAGCCGGTACTAGGGGGCTTGAATGGTAGATTGCACTTTACAGTACCGTCTATGAACATGCTGAATCAAACCGAGCTTGCAACATTTTCAGTTTTGCTGTGTTGGACTTTCTTAAAAGATTCTTACTTTCTCTATTTTAAGCGTTTTGGTCGGGAGACAAAGTTGCGATTTTAACTTTTGATTCTCATTCGAACTATGTTTACTTTTGATACAATCTTTTTTGTTTTGCTTTCTTATGAAAATAGCGTAGAGTCATTTAATATTTAGAATTTATATATAAATACAATTGGTTCACAAACCTAATATCTGACATACTTTTATTTCATTTCAGCATTAATCAAATTTCAAACAATTATCGACGGAGAAGGAAAGGAAAATAAAATAACTTGTTTGAAAAAAAAAATATTTTAAAAAAAAAAACCCAAAAAACAAACAAACCGTTTTTGTACTGTATAAACATGTAACTGATATGGACTTAATAAAACTTGTCATTTAGCACATTCAAGTACAATTATAAATGTTTCAGACATATTTTGATTTAGGAACTGCTACTTATTGGGGTTTTTACACAGCATTTATCTATAAATTGCATAAAAAACTAACGGATAAACGCTTTATTGAAATCACCTTTTTAAAACTTCTAAAAAAATACCAACCAGCAAACAACAAAGTGTTGAATGATAAAAATATGAAGTCAAACGTAACGCTATGATGATTTAAAAATTGAACAAAGTGATATATTTTTGAAGACATTTTATTTTATTTAAGTTATTTTCGTAGATAAAAGTTTCATGATAACTTACCAAAAGCATATATCCTTCCATAATGATATTCAGCAGTTAATATTGATATCTATAAACATTTCTTTAACCTTAGATAAATTTCATAAGGAAGTAAAATTCAGCGCATCTGTCAACATAATTATCAACGTTGTTATTTCATTAAAATTAAAACAAGTCTTCTCATCCGATGCATATAAGAATATACTTAAATACTTAAGACAAATAAAATTGCAAACAGATGCATGAAACTTGCTTTTTTTCGTAATATAATATAATACAATACCATGTAAAGTTTAATAACAAAAGCTTTATGC